TGGATTCCTGAGCCTGCGGGTTCGAGACCCGCCTGGGCAGCGAGACCTCATCTCTACAATAAATAAAAAAATCAGCCGGGTGTGGTAGCGCATGCCTGTAATTCCGGCTACTTGGAAGGCTGAGGCAGAAGGATTGCCAGAGCCCAGCAGGTCGAGGCTGCAGTGGCCAGGAGCGGCCACTGCACTCCAGTCTGGGCAACAGAGTGAGACTCCAACTCAAAAAAAAAAAAATTAGCCGGATGTGGTGATGTACACCTGTAGTCCCAACTACTCAGGAGGCTGAGGTGGAAGGATCACTTGAACCCAGGAGGGCAAACCTGCAGTGAGCCATGATGGTGTCACTGCATTCCAGCCTGGGTGGGAGAGACCCCAACTCAAAAAAAAAAAAAAAAAAAGGAAAAACTACAACACTTTGTTGCCATCTAGGTTTGCAAAGATTTTTCATTCTGGAAAGAAAACCCTGGGCCACTGCCCTTTTCCCTTCTTTGGTAACCAAGTTCAAGTAACAAGTCTGGATAGGATGTAAAGTAGATGGCACTATCCTTGCTGAACTTGGAATGACTAAATGCTAGTTGGTTGTATTCCTCTAGAATTTGGTTATGATCCTATATAAGGCAGTTCAATATTTCCATTTTGTTTTTATAATAGCAATAGGTTAAAAACAGCAGTAAGGAGATGTTCCAGAGTTTAAGAGTACCAGGATGGAACCCAAACTCTGTCCCTTCTGTGTGACCTTGGGAAACCCTTTTCCTCTCAAAGATTTATTTCCTCATCTTGAAAGTGGGAATAACATCACTACCTACCTCATAGAGCTGTGAGGATTAAATTCTTAAATGTGAAGAGTCTGACTCCAGGGATGCTTCCTTTATTATTAGCTCATAATTCTTTAAACAGAATTGCTGATGGGTTCATTAGAAGTAATGCAGTATAAGCCTTCACAGTTCAGTTTCCTCCTATTCCATTCTGTAATCAGCTTGAAGGAAATCCTCACAGAGACCATGGCCCTCAGCTCTTGCTCCTGCTCTGTGCCCTAAAGACCTTCCTTCTCACCAGGCGAGCTGAGGCCAGTGCTCCAGAACCTTGGATAGCTCCACTTCTTCCCAGAGAAAGCAGGAGGGGCTTGGGAAACTTTTCCAGAAAGGCTGCATTAGTGCAGGGGATTTAGGAATCCCAGGGGCTGCAATCTCACTCCCAGCATGCATGCTGCCACCTGCATGCATGTTCAGATTCTTCAACATGCCGAACCCTCCTGGAAATTTCTAAGGAGCCGCTCTTCAGAAAGCTGTAACTCCACCCACAAGATTTACCGGATCTTAGGGCCCTTTTCTTCTTTCCTATGAACTCCAAAATTTTTTTTGAGCCCAAAGAACAGAAACACCACCCACATCTTCCTGTATCTGCTGATATTTAATTTGTTTGGCTTCTGTACAAGGATTAAACATTCTTGATTAATTTCAAATGAAAGTAATAATGTGTGAGTATGAGAAAATGTTTTACAAGGCAAAGATTCAGGTATGAATTAAAAGAAACAAAATAATGCTACTGCCTATAGGTGATGTTAAGTACCATTCTCTAATCAGGATAAGCAGGTGGTTCAATTTATGAGGTAACTTAGCTTTTCACTCTCCAATACAGAACACAACACACCATATGCAGTCACCTTCTGAATAGGCAAGGAAGAGATTAAGTCCTATTTTTACTTTATGATACTGAGTCATGTAGTTCAATGCAAATCACATGGATGCCAAAGTAAGAACAATACCAGGTATTTAAATACCTTCTTTCCTTTGAGGAGCTCCTTTGATTTTGTGACTGCATGGAATCCCTCAGAGTAACTCCAGGAGAAGAGAAACATGTCACCAGGTGGGCATTTAGGACTGAGTATGTCTCATCCATCTCCTTCACTCCTGTTATTAGGCTTGGAAGAGCCAGTATTTGCCAATTTTTTGCACTTAGTAATAGCCTCCAGATGTCTGCATTTTCTGGCCACATTGTTGTTAAGGCAAAGGGCTTGTCTTTGAAAAATATGTTACTGACTAATTTAATAACGAGGAAGAGAAGAAGATAAATGTGGATAAGAAAAGTGGGGAAGGGAATAGCAGAGGAAGAGGGAGAGACTGGAGAGCTGTCTAAACTTCCTTGAGCTTAATAAATGTTTCCCATGCATTGTCCTCATAAATGGGTTTGATGTCCACCTTCAGCTGGACAGAAATTTGAACAAAGGCCTTTGGCCCCCTTTAAACATTTCCATAGGGATGAGGACAGCAGCAGTTCCATTGCTTGAACTAGCTTGAGGGAACTGCAGACAAGAACATCAACTCAGGTCCCTGAAGGAGGACCCATATGGAAAGGTATGTGGTTTCACCTAACAATGCCCACTCACTCTGAGCGTTAGTTGCCAAATTGCACCTTGGTTTAGCTTCCTCCCAGCAGAGGTCGCTGTGGATACTGGCAGTGGATGCTTGTGGGAACTGGAACAGGTAGGTTGGGCTGGATGGTGGTTCCACTCTCTGGTACCTGCTCTTGCTGATGTTCCACTGGCCATAGTCTAGCCTCTCATCCTATGGGAAGGAGGTCTCTGTGGAGATTACTCAAAGCCACACAGCACCTTTCTTTTAAAATGCTGTGAAACTGGGGTCACTTGCCGGGGTGGGCAGGTCTGGGAGGGCTGTGCTCATCCTCTAGGGGTATTGTCCTGTAGTGTATCTCTGTGTTACTGACTGATCAGCAACCTCAGTCCTATCGGCCTTCCAGACGTGGAGGCCAAAGGAACAAAAGTTGCCTGCCACACAATCTTGCACCCACATCATAAGCGACTCTGTTGATGAACCCCCAAACCTCACTTGGAAGCCCATGGTGGTGGTAGGGTCCTCAGGGCAACCCATTAAAGCAAGGTAAGGCTTCTAAGGGATGGGAAGTCTCTCACACCACTGATGAGTATGCTCAGGTCAGACTGAGACCCCAGAAAGGCCGAAGAAGGCTCCACGTACCTGTGACTTCCCACTTGCTGGGCCGTACTCAGGCATGCAGGCTAGGCACAAGGCAGCCTGAAGCTGCCTCCCCTCCAAGGGCATCCACTTGAACCCATGGCCGTGACTGGCTCGAGAGCTGAAGGGGCAACTACCTTGCTCTCCTCAGTAGCCAAGCCCAGCAATAAGTTCCTCTTCTCTCTCACAGCCACAGCGAGAAGCACAAGCTTTGGCCATGCACACTGGAGTGCACACTGGCACACTCACCCGGTCACACACATTTACACCCACGCTGTGACCCACACAAGCCCTCCCATGCTTAAACAAATCCCTCCCCAGAACCAAATTTGACCTAACATGACTGATGGGGCGTTGGAGGGTCCAGTCAGAATGCACTCCTGGACCCTAGCCCACATATGCCCCCTGAACCTCAGTACCCTCTCAAGGTGGAGCCCCTGTCTGTCCCTCCCCTCCTGGTCACAGGTCCTGAACGTGCCCCCTTCCCTCAAGGGGCCCTGGCCATCGTGTACGTGGAATCCTGGGTGCTGGGCTGGTCTTGAGGTCGGGGTGCGCGGAAAGAGAAGGGTGTCTGTGGGGCACAGTGACTGCCCGGCTCGGCGGCCTCCTCCCTCGGGATTTTCCACCCAGGCTTGCGCGGGCCCGCGAGGAGCAAGCGCGCTTTGTCTCCCGC